CCGAGAGTTTTGGTGCTCCGACTGAAGTCCTGGGCCCACTCCAGGCCCTCCGCTTCCTCCTGGACCGTCCCCACGAAAGAATCCCTGAGACCGTTCACCTCGGGACGCCCTTTTCCTTCCGGCTCAGTAGAGCCGATCTCGGAGGACACGAATTCTGACACTGTGTCGATCATGGCGTTAGCCAGAGCCTTGCAAAGGCCCGCAGGGTAGACCTTCTTGGCCGCCGTGCGGAAAACTCCCCCCTCTTTTCTCCCGAGGAGGGTGGTGTGCGCTCCTCGCCCGTGCGAGCAGCGCCCTCGTCCAGGCGTCGCCGTGAGGCGTGCATGCAGGCCCCTCACTCGGAGGCCGACGATGCGCGTCGGCGCGCGCCCGACCTCGCCCCCGTGCTCGCACTGGTCGAAGTCGGTGGTGGTCACGACCGGGCAGCTCTGCAGCGCTAGGAGCGGTTCCCATGTCCAGCTCGTGACCGCTTCACGCCGCCAGTGCGCTGGGATTGGGTGCTCCATCCAAGCCGATGAGCCCACTCGTAGGTGCGCTCCCATCAGCAGCACCAGTGCCTGCAGCAGGGAGTTGCCGACCATGAGCTGGAGCCGCTGGCGGCTTATGGGTGTCTTGATGCCCCAGTACTCGTCATGGGTCCTGAGCGGCGGCGGTCCAGGCATATCCGACCATCGGGCCGCACTCCACGTCTCGCAGGGTGGCCCGCCGCCGCTCAGGATGACCTGCCTCGAGTAGATCGCGCCGTTGAACGTGTCCAGGCTCTTCGACTTCATCAGGTCGCAGCGCTCCGCGTCGATCGCCACGTCGATGCTCAGCACTGTGACCGTCACGACTGCGCTGACCTCCTCGTACGCCGTGGCACTGGAGAGGCAGTGCCTGATGTCTCCGCGCCTTCTGACACCGCAGTACAGGTTCAGGGTGAATACTTCCGCCCTCCTGATCCGCCAGGGCACCGCTACCGTGGTGATGCCCTTGGAGTCGTTCGTCTAGAACTGGTCCAGCATGTAGCGCTCCGTCAGGGGCTCTGGGTCTTTTTCCATGCCCTGCTGCCCGTGGAGGGTGGGGGCCTGCAGCACGCCCTTGGCCTCATCGTCCAGGGCATAGTCGCTCTCCAGGAGGATCTGCTTGATCTGCCAGTCGTGGAAGTTGGACCTGTCCGTCGCCTCTGTGGCTGGGCCTGCTGCTCGTACTGCTGGTATGTCCACTCTCTTCCAGAACCCCCCTTTGGGCAGGTGTGGGTCGGCTACCTTGTCGTCGTCGGTTGCCGGCATTCTGGCCTTCATTGTGAGCACAAGGCATGTGCACGATGCGATTGCTAGGTGTTCCAACAGATGGTGCGGCCGCTGGAATAGCATCATGCAAATTTGGCACTGGCTCGCTCCTCGCATCCATCTTCTGGCCAGGGCTGTCATAGTCCAGTGATTGCGTGCAATGTGCACTCGTAGCCCTCTCTGTCGTGCGAAGTTTGTCGCATACCATGGGCATGTCCACTTGCCGCCGTCCTCTCGCTGGTGTACAGGCTGTGGCGGTCCATGTGGGCTGCCTGGCCTGCTCGACCATGGTACACCTGCCGCTTGCGCCTCTGCGAAGAACCGCTTGGCTGCCGCAGCTGCCATGGTGCGCCTTCCGAGGTCCTCAGCTGCTGCATTGCGAACCTCGCCCAACTGGTACTTCCAGCTGGTGTGTGAGGCTCTGATGCGTTGTTCCCACGGGCGGATGTCCTCGCCTGGGTCCGACAAGCCCTTGAGGAAGTGGGTGTACTGCTGCGCCCAGACCAGGTCTTCGATGAGCTTCTTGGGCCAGTTGCTTCGCTGCGGTGACGTAGGCAGTAGCAGTAGCTTGGCCATCAACGCAAAGACTGCGACTTCAGCAGTTCGCCGAAGAGACGCAGCCTCGCTACTCGAAATAGGTCGGCTGGGCGTGCTCTCCCTGCTTTCATGAGCACATAGTCGTCCTCTGCATCTGGGACTTTTTCGAGCTCCTCGTCCTCCTCTTCGTTGCGCTTGACTGGTGAGCTGCGAGTGGCCACCCTGTACACGAACATCACCAAGCCGTGCGCGTAGTTGTGCTCTGCTGCCGATAGGGGGCCCCGGCTGCCCGCTGAGTAGCATCTGAAGCCCGTGATGAGAGAGGGCGCAAATATCATGCGGACTTTGAGTGGTAGTTGGTCACCTGCGCAAGCCTTGCGCCGAAAACGTTGTAGTGGGTGCGCCGTGGTCTGTGCCCGTCGGTAGGGCTCGAGGTACATGGCCCCGAGGTCGTCGACAACTGTGCCGAGCTGCGCGTGCGTGTTGACGACGCTCACATTGGGGCGCTCGAAGTACTTGGAAACGAGCTGTAGCTGGTCTCTCTGATCGTGCCACAGCTTACGCTTGGATTCCTTAGAGCCTCTCCCTGCGAAGGCCCGGGGGGCTTCTGACTGACCTGCATCCAGGTTGCGCTGGAGGCCGTACTCAGCGAAGACGTCGAGGACGACCCATCCCACCAGCTCGAGTGCGGC